ACTTATTTCTCTTTTACGGGACGCTATTTGAAACAGGACACTGAGTTATAAAATGATAAATGGTGTTTTCTAATTTTAAAAATAATCAGTAGTTAATAATATTTTGTAAAGTTAGGAGATCTACGTTTTATCATTAGGATAAACTTAAATCATTCTAAATGAATAATTGTCCTCTGTAGTGGGACTCGGAGTAAAAACCAATACTTTATAATCTTAAAAACGAAGTCATATCGTTTAATAATGAAAGTTTAATACTTGAGAGTCTGAACAGTATAATTCTCCGATAAAGTCTTAGTGACTAAAGTAACAAACAACTGAAAATGTAAGTAAACAAAATATTTAGTGTCAGTAGAAACATTTATAGGATATTTACTTAAGACAATAATAATCACAGTTGCTTTTTAATGAAACATATCTAAAAAATTGCTATTCAAATAAATGGATTAAAATAGATTGCATTTTAAATTCGAATAATTTATGTTTATAGAGGCTTTGCTTCAGTAGTTATTAGGGAAAATGATGTGTATATTTACACAGTAGAAACCAATCTTATTCAAAATACTACTAAGAATTTTATTTTTACATAACTTAGATGTCACAATCTCTAAGAGATGGTTTTACGGCATTACATTTTACTACGCTGAAATTCTGTAAATATTACTTAGCCCACCTGTTTAAAAGAAACGTTCAATAACTAGTGGTTATTATAATTGGTACGAGAGAATTAACACACTTAAATTGAAGAAAATACTCCATTTTGTAGTAACTATTAGAAATTAGTGAAATTTAAATAAAATGATGGATTTATTATTTTATGCATGAATATCCCCCAAGAATACACGGAAACGACTATTTTCATAGCTAGTCAAAAATGTGTGATTGGTATATATCAGAGTTAGTCAACAACGACTTAAACGCATTTCACTCTATTCATGAAAGTTTTACTATCAACGCAAGACAACTATTATTATGTATAACTCAATTATATTATTTCTTATATTGCCCCGAAATTCAAAACTGACCAAATGATTGGCAATTATGGGTGATAAGACGTGAATAAATCAGACTCTATGGTGATCTTACAAAAGTATACCAGTAAATGACCATGATACTAAGGAACTTCAGATATATGAACCTATCTGAATTACTTAACGTGTGAGTAGGCTCTATGTTCATTTCAAACATTTTTTAATTAAAAACATCTTTACTTTTTATATTGTAAAATTACTTTTTTGATATATTTTCTTAAATGATAACGCCAGACTTAGTGAAATGTTTGCATTGTTAGCTTGAATACTAGATTTAAATAACGCCATACATAGGTTCACTTCAGAAGATTAAAAAAACTTTGAAATTTATCTGTGATAATTTGAAAATATGCAGCAAACTTACTTCATTTTCAATAGCTATAAAACTGCTTAGATGTGCAAAACTCGTATTTGAAGCAACAAGGTGTTCCCTACCACAACCAAAACATTTGAAGCAAGACTTATTGTGCACTATATTAGGGCTACTAAAACTTCAGGTTTAGATAGTAAACTAGAATAAGCAAACAGTCCGAAGAAAGACCTTAGCATGATGAAGTACAAACTTATACATAAAATCTTTAAAACTTGATATTGACTTTGCTAAATAAAAACATAAAGTTTTATGCAAACCAAAGGTTTTCAAGAAGTTTGTCTACTGTAAGCTCTTGAAGATCCGGTGGCGTCTAATATTTAGACGTCATGTCCTTTGCTGGCCGACTTGCTTGCTACTGAGGTTTGTATTAACTCTCAAAACTAAAAGTCTTATGATTTTCAATATTCATCATTTACTCTTTTCTACTGTTTGTTATTACAGGTTACATTTACCCAGAAAGGCGGTTTGTTCCATGATACAAAAATCTAAAGCTGCATTTACTAGCTAAGGTATGCTGTGTTAAAACCACTAAGTTTATTCTAAATGTGGAATGATTTTTACTGGATTTATCAAATAAACAGAATCACACACATTTCAGATCACATGAATACGACGTTACTACCCTCGAGATCTGATATATAATTTCATTGAAATAGTAGAAACAAATGCAGTGGCTGAAAAGCAAATTTCAAACTTCGAATTGTACCAGAAAGCAAACAAGCCACACAATCATCTAACTGTAATCGATCGTGAATAAGAATTTTTCAATGAAAGATGTTCAATACTACTAAGCTTATGTGTTGGAGGTTGAGTTATAAAGCCGAGTTGGTCAACTATAGACTGTCTACAGAGAATAATAATTTCAATACTCAGATTTGAACATAAGTGCAAACCAATTTAGAACATGGTGGTGTAGCTTTAAGACCTTTAGATAAATGTGATTGTTGAAGAAATTTCTATCACCACAGCTTTTTATTATCTTCATTTTCCTAACAAAAAGATAGACAAAAACAATAGGATAATATGTCGTAGCGAGCTATGCTGGAACCAAATTTACATACAGGTAGGGAGATGAGATGATATGAACACTATACGAGCTTTATTTCAATAATTCTTTACAAATAATTATGTACCGTGACGTTTAGAAGGATAATGTCATGAACGTTAGCATATTTGGTTGTCAATTAGTGTCGCCACCAAGAATTTCAGACAACCAAATAATGATGGAAGAAATTCATATAAAGCATTTTGTAAAATACTATGTAAAACATTTCATAAACTCAGGTAAATTGATGTACTTCCTAATTGCTGAATGTTTGCATTATATAGTCTTCAGAAAGCCTTAAAAAACTCAGGATAAAAAGTAAATGCTTTCCGCACAGTTGAAAAATTATTGCTGAATAGAGAATTTTAAGAATGATAAATAGAAATTAAAGCATCGCCCATTTTTCACTCATAACCTAATAGTATGTTCTGGGTGGAAATTAGAAATAACTTATCAACTAATGTCAAAACGCCATTACATTTAAATGAGTTTATTTTCACATAGACCAACCTTGCTTTACAAGCAAAATAAAGAATAGAATTACATCTAAAAATAAAATTATGACTGAATACTCTAATGATAGCGTTTTTTATTCACTTATTATTTCTAGCAACTTCATGCACAAAATAGCACCTGGTGTGTATCACTTTTGAAATTTGTCATATTTAATTGATTATTTGTCTTGATTGTTGAGATGGCTGAAATAAAATAATCTACAGACAGACACTACCGTGTTAAAAGAATTCATAAAACTGCTGACTACACATTATTTTCTGCTACTTCGTCTACGAAATAAAGCACAAGTGTGAAATAATAAAAATAAAGTCATAAGGTCCAATAAATATTAAACTAGAAAATAAAATTTGTGGTACAACACATTTCTGGTGAGACGAAATTGACTGAAAACCATTGAGCAACGCTACAGTGTCCACATGCAACCATTGTCCGAAACCAGAGTGAGGAGTTAAAACTATGATTAAGAGTTGATGGTTTAAGTTGAGAGTCAGATTAAGTGATTTCATCACAAGCTGATATCAGCTATAATCCCAAAACTTTTTTTAGCAAAATGTGTGTGTTTTGTGCTAAAACCAGAAACAAGTGGTCTTATACGCTGTTGGTTATTCATTAAATTATGGTCTCCCATTTCTTAACAAAGATACATTGAAACAAAACTCGCGAAGCCAAAAACCTAAACCGACCAAACATGTAAATCTAAATTGCTATATCTGAGTAAATAGAATGCCACATGTCAATACATATGGAGACAGCTGGATATGCATATTTTTAAACATCACTTACCTCCTATAACGATACCAGCGATCGCGGATGAAGACAAGTTAGCTCCAGAGTTTTCTCTCATGTAATCAGAATAAGCAGAGGCATATTCTTTTCTTGGCATAAGCTTAATAATATTATCATCCATCCTGTGGCAACTCCAAATTCATATCACGCTCTATTTAGGGCGAAAATAAATCCTTGAAAGTTTATTAACTTAAACAATACATTTCTTACATGATCCGCATTTTATCTTTTTGAAATGATGCACCACATTCAATTTACATTTGTTGATGAAATAGAATATACTGTGTAGTGAACATTTCTCTATTCACTGTCTATAAAGTTTGTATTAACGAAGTCTCAATATTTATAGATCTGCAATACAACGTCATTTTCATAGCTTATTCACAATTTTCCTATGAAATAAAGACGGTATCTTGTAAGCCAAATGAAACTTAACACCAATCATCATCAATTTAAGCAACTGGTCACAAATAATAAATCGACTGAACATATTAACAAAGTCCAATTTTGTCTCCTAGACAACATGATTGTGTTCTCATGTTTACCTTATGCCTTCCATCAGGTACACTTTAAAAAAACTGTAGATCACCAATGTAAATGATCTGTGTCGAATGATTGGATGTCCATTAGAGCTAGGCGAGAATGATGTAACCAGCAAGCTAATGTCAAAATCACATCTAGCGTGGATTACCCTTTCATCGTCGTCAGGTACTGTCGCCACTTTGATGACCGAACAATACAAACGTCGTTATTATGGAAATATATAGTAAAAGCAGGTACAAAGAACAGAGTGCGACCATTTCTATATTGGGCAGTCCGCGACATACAATTAACTAATCTATGATGTTCATTCTTGACCTTGATGAGGATCGGTAGACTGTTCGACAATCGGTGATATGTCTGCGAGATTATTTTCAGTTTCAGTTTGCCATGGGCCCGGTGTGATTTCATTGGCCTTACAAACCTTTAAAGTAAAATATTCACAATAGTTGTATAACACCGAATATAAGATGCACCATCAACGCTACCTCTAGGTTTGTTAAGCTATAGCACTTCTGAGAGGATCTTTAAAATATGCGAAACTTTCCACAAGCCACTCTGAAAATATATTACAGCCTAAAATCTTTATTTGCATAAATTATGTAGCACACTCGACATGTGAAACATAAAACACACTAAGTGAAGTATTATATCCTGTAAAGTCTATCTATACTCTTCATTTGTTTTACAACAAAGATTGTTTAACCGAACTGAAATATGATTTTTACCATGAGAACATACGACAGCTTTTCAAATTTAGGGATGTAACGTATGTAATTTTTTGCTTTAACAAATTCTGTTTTCATTTAACCAATCACTTTAATTTACGCCTTCGTTTTCGCTTTATTTATGTTCGTAGCTTTAGTTAACAGACGCAAGTTCGTCTCATGGTGCTTATTGAGTTATCGCAATCCGTTAAGTGGTAAGAAATATGATAGTTTTCCCCAAAGTTTTAGAAAATCTGATGAAAAACCTCAACATTTTGAAGATTTCATCAAATTTCGGGGATTTTTTAGACCTGGAGAAATTTTGTTATTTTGTGACATTTTCCAAAAAGTTTTCCATTTTTTCTAAACGTTACCAGTTACTCTTCCAAACAGAGGAACGTATACGATCAGACATTAATTTCTACATGCCTCAGTTTAGTCTAGACATTGACCCACAAGACATTTTTAGCCATCTGAACGTGTTGCATTTCATAAACTAATTTACGAAAGACTTCTGTGTAAGAGGGTTTAAATATAAAAAACATCACTTTTTAAGTTTAATTTTTTCACCCTTGATGAAGGAGTTTGCGAGTTAAATGTTTATTGCAATTGTATTTTACCAATTATCGAGAACAGTCTTAGGTTTATTTACTGGAATCCTTCTCTCTCTCTCTCTCTCTCTCTCTCTCTCTCTATATATATATATATATATATATATATATATATATATATATATATATATATATATAAACATATATATTCACTATGAATAATAAAGCTATATTTGCAGCATTCTCAACTTGTGGTGTTAGGAACGTCTACTTGGTTTCATTGAACATTTCATCTGAGGCTATCGTTTTACATTTAAATGTCGAACATTGATTCTTTTTCGTCGAGAATGATCGGGAGAATATGGTATCTCTACATTTGCTGCGATATGGTTGGTTTTAAGTTATGCCTTACAATTGTCTCTCAAACGTTTACACCCATGTCACTATTATTTTATCGAATTAGTACTTACGACAGTTTTATAAACGTTTTACATTAATTTTATTCTATTCGAATGAGTTTAGAAGGAATGTGTTGACAAAGAATAAGTTAATGAAAAATATGTGAAAAAAGGTCTAGTCCAAAAACACCTTTAAAATCAGACGGGGTAGGATTATTTGGTTATTTACAGTACTACTTAACAAATTATAGCTACCAACCAATTAGAATAATCTATACTTTGAATGAACATTATTTCATAATTTTGAATCGTGGTATGATGTAATGCCTAAAAGGTCTTTCAGTGCGTTTTATAAGTCTTTACGTTCATTTAAAACCATTACAATAATAAAATCTGTCATTTTTAGACTATCCTTCAAAAGAACACGGATTTATTCATGTACACCTGTTAAACTGACGCAAGTTTAAGTAGTTCCCCTAAAGAACCGGTCACCCATGGTTATTAAGCTTCGCAGTAGCCTACAATTATTTGCCTGAAATAAGACCAACATTTTCGCTTGGTACTTCTTCACCCTTTAGGAAATTAATTATATTATGGTCCCTTAAAAAGCAACCTAATTCCGCTGTAGTAGTGTTTGTGTGAGATGCATGTTTTTCCATTATTCATAATTAGCTGGTTTGATATGATTTTATGCATGTATAAATAACTTCTCAAATAGATGAATGCCTAATTACTATTTGGGTCAAGTGTAGCAAAAATGTTGTGATAATCCTCAGAACATTAGTACTATTTATTCAGTTTAATGAAAACAGAAATAAGTAAATTGGTGAACACTGAGAACATCAAAAAGATAACAGTGCTTAAATATAAGTTGATTATGTTACTTATATGTTTTGGCAGCACAAAGTGTAGTTATTTAACCTTTTGAAGTAATTTTACTTACTGACTACTTTTTGTCTAATCACTTATACGACAATCATAAGAATTTTAATATTATCGATTAACTGCTATGATAAGCCTAGTCAAGGAATTCAAGAGGTCAACAAAAATATAAAAAAATAAAAATTAAGCCTTTTCCTTGGATTTTAATGAGATTGTTAAACAGGTTCAAAATTCATCGAAGTGTCAGTATCCATTTACAAACTGTCAGATGTAAGAAGGCGCTACAAAATGTCTTATATTACTGGTTTTAACATCAGGTAAAACGTCATCTTTCATTTCAACTAAAATAGTACTGCATGATACTTACAGGTTCCTCAGTAACCCCTTCAGTCTCTGGTTTTCTGGCTTCACTAGGTAAGACATTCAAACGAACCTGTCAAGTAGAACAAAAAATATCTTTTTTATGACATTGTAATTTTCAGAAGCTTTAAGGAACTCCAAGCACTTTAGTATTATTAAGTTGTCTATTCCTATCATAAATTAGCTGGAAGTTTGACTTCATTTTATTAAATAAAAGAATTGTCAAATGTTGTTTATGGAAACAATGCTGTATAAAATTTAATTTTGGTTAAAGTGTTTAAAAAATCGTTTGATATGTGCAAAGTTTTTTGGTTTACTCCCTATCCTTCATTAAATAGGTTTTAAGAAGTAGAATGATTGGAAATTTTAAAGCTTCTTATCTCAGTGTAAGCAAGTAACTAGAAGAGTTAAGAGATATAGAGGGTTATTGAGATCGAATTGGTAATAGCATAAACACTGCTACTTGACTTCTAAGTCTACTGTATCTCTAAGCGTTTTGGTAAATGCTACTAAAGGAATGACAATGTCATAGTCTACTTAGAGGAGGTGATTAGTGAAGGGAATATTCTGTGCTTTGTTTGTTTAGTTTTAGAAATCATATGAGGTTGATGAATTGTTTGACTTTTAATATTTAAGAAGTTGAAGATCCAGAGTTAAACCATATTTATGAGATATTTTTGTTACTTTCGGAGTAAAAATTCAGGTCATTTACTGGATTACTTTCAACTTATGCTCTTTAAATAACAGGAGTTCTCGATACTATGTCAGTATTTGTCAATACAGGGTTTTGTGTTGGCTGAACATTGATACCAGTAGACTGAACTGTGTCTGATCACGAATCCTTGCGAAAATCTGGAAAATTTTCTCTAAAGTAAATCACGTATCTTTTATTATGTAGTAGTTAAGATTTTCTGCAACCCCAGAGTTATTTGTTTTATCAAAGCGCTCAGTAGCATATACTGTTTAAAATAATAAAGGTGATTGTGAGATGGGATTTTATGTAGTTGAAAATAATTCCTGGAGTGCTCAAAATAAAATAGAGCTGTTTAACTCTTAGTGATTGCAAATGGCTGTTATATAAAACAAAATTAATATGTATACAAAACAAACTATTCCATAACTTATCAATTTAGATCTTATTTGTCAAATTATACGTTATTTCTGTTTGATATGCCCATCCTATCAAGACATCTGGAGTATTCATTTCTTTTTAAACTTAGAACTTAAAATAAACTATAAATCATGAAAAAAGCAAACGGAAAAGTGAATTCAGTTGAAAATACTTTGCGTAATAAGGTTAGTCACTTATTTATTTTGTCATTGTAACATAACTAAAAATCTGATCAATCAGAGTGCTAGAGGTCGTTCTAAAAGTCAAAGCGAACGTAAATCAGGATCGTCACTTGGTAAATCAGTGGAAAAAAGTGGCAGCGAACATTCTGATGCAGTGGATGGATCATCATTGGCATCAATCAGAGAAAGTCATAAACCATTAGATATATTCATTCAAAATGAACTAATGCCTAATTGCAAACCGATATTTTTATCAAAATCAACACAACAAATATTTAATATTGTAACTGATGAACAAATTACCAAAGAATCACCAATCATTTTATTGAACAAATCTGATATACTTAAAGATTTACAGTTACGTGCAGCTGTATCAGATTTCAGTGTACAAAAAGTTGCAATAAAAAATTATCCCGGTTCTGATATTTTATTAATTTACGATGCAGATTATAAATTTGGCCAAAATTTTGTCATTGTCTTATCTGAAGAGACAAAATCTCTGATACTGAATCCAATTAAACAGGCAATTGACGGTCAGTCAGAACATGATAGTGATGGTGATGTGAATGATGGAATAAACAATGATGCGGATAAAATAGAAGAATACAAAGAAGACAGTGATTTATGTTTTTTATTTAAATCGAGATCAGAACATGGTTGGATTGAATTAGGTTCAGAAAACGAAATTGCCGAAATGAATACTTTTGAAACACGTTCAAAAGTGTGTACAATTTTTCAAAGACCACGTAAAGAATTTGGCAGTGTATTACATTTGCAAGATGAAAGTGCTACAAAGAAAGGTTGTTCTGAACAGATTTTATCACGTGAAGATGAATCATTTAATATACCTATAATGGAGTTAGATAAATCAGCCACAAACTGTGAAACCACATGTGATAAAGGTATTAATACGAATTGGAAATATCCAAAAAATGCTTTCACTCAATATGTTCCCAGAATGTTTACAACTGATGAATTAAAACATTATTATCATGAAAATAATGATGTTTTACGTAATATATCAAAATTATACACACTATTTGAACAAAGTTTGTTAGAAAATGAAATGTACAATTTTTTATTAAATGATTATGAGAATTTGCCGATTGGTGATGAAACTTATGATACAAGAAGTGACAATACATTCAAAGAATTTTTATCATTTACTGATTTAAAATTTAGTAAAAATAAAGCTATTACAATGATTCAATGGCATCCAAATATTAAAGGTATTATTGCAACATCTATTAGTGAACGGATAATTTATGATCAACGTATTGACCAAGCATCAAGAATTCTTTTACAACCAACACATATTATATTATGGAGTTTTAATGATCCATTAAAGCCTCAATTATTATTACATGCACCAGATGATATTATGTGTTTTCAATTTAATCCAACTAGTTCGAATTATATAGCTGGTGGTTGTATCAATGGACAAGTAGTTCTGTGGGATATTGAAAAGCATATTGACGATTTAACTAATGTTAAATCACGATTAAAGCAAAATAATCAAATGCCTTTATTTGTTTTTGATGAGAATGAATTAAATAAAGTATCAACATCACATTATTCCGCTCTAAGTAATATTGAATCATCACATAGTTCACCAATTATGGATTTGAAATGGATACCGGATCATATAGAAATTAATCGGTTAGGATACTGTTTTGAAAATCATGCACAGAAATGTGTTCAATTAATGACATGCGGTTTAAATGGTGAAATATTACTATGGGATATACGACCAGAAAAAACACCATTAGCTATTAACAAAACAAGTGATTCAGTTAAACCACCAAATAATGTACCACTAACATTTTCGGCACTGGATCTGAAATGGAAACCATTATTAAGAATACATTTATATACAAACGATCCAGTTAATGACCATGTACCAATTAAATTTTGTATACGTGTAGGTTGCATTTTATTATTTTACTTTAATTTATTATTAGTTGCATAGTTTTCCTAAAGTTATATATACATCCAATTAATACCTAGTTGTAGTTCTCTTGATTAAGGTGATCAATGGCTGATGTGGTTCTTAACCTGTTGCAATAGCACAAATGCATTCAACCTTTATCCCTCTTTAGATCGTGATATGAGAAAATATTTATGTCTTATTCTAAGAATAAATTCTTTCCGAACCATATTTTTGAAGTCTAACCTTCTTTTTGCTATTGTTGATACTGATATTACGTTTACTACTTAGACATTCATCCCAATAATTTTATCTCATTGTGCTGGTATGGAGTGGCAATTTAGATTGATCTCTATATGTAATAGGTTCTGTGTTACCGACGATTGACTGACTAGCAACAGGAACTTTAAATCTGATTTTACTTAACATGTTTTGCACAGATAAACAGTAATATACTATCGAGTGTAACGGATGTACCTCAAAATCTACTGAATGGATATATGTTGACATATTATTATGACAATTTCTAATATTGGTGTCATTACCAAGGTTTGACTTGATAATTTAGAATAAATTAAGCATTGAGTAGATTGTTATTGATATTGTCAACAATATTATTAATGTCATATTGTATATTCTTTGAAAAATGAAGTAAGTATCAGGATATGAAACCTTAAATTGGGATAAAAAACTTCCATCACGAACTAAAATTAGAAAGGAAAATTACTGAAAACCAAGCAGCTGCTTAGTCCTACCTTGTAACTCCATGGTTGCAATCACACATAACCCCGTTCAGAATCGAAATCTTGATGTTCGAGACACATAACCAACAACAAAATGAGTCAGGAGTCCTCAGTTTATGCTGTTCATTTCAGTCGTTTGGTGATAAAACACAATCCCTATCCAGTGTTATCGGTGGTTTTCGCCTCACTCTAATCTTCACCTACTTTGCAGCTTACGGTTTCTTATTAGGAATTAGGGAAATCTATTCAGTAGTTATCTGTGTAAAGGTGAAGATTATGAAGTAAATTTAGCTTGACGCTATTGAAAAATTCCGGACTAGGATGAAAGAGCTATCTACTCTTCTCTTATTTCTGACGGTTACACTTCTAGAGTCATATTCTATGAAAGTTACTCTTACCTTGTACGAAATTACTGCAAAATTATGTTAGCGAACTATAATAACTAATCATAAATTTTCACTTACTTTTGATGGTTTGATTACATGGACAAATGGATGGACTCATGGGTGCATAGATTCGTTTTTGTGTGATTAATTCATTTTTTAAAAATTCCAATGATTCTTTCTATCACTGATTCTATAAATCTGTTTCAATAACTTTTTGGCATAAACCTTAATCTTTGACCTTCTATTTTGTTTTCCTTGTATTGATTGACCTACTTTGTTTAATTAATCGATGCTTAATTGACCATAACATCAATCTTGAAGAAAACGTCTTGCATCCTGGAGATATATTCAACCAAACTAATGTACACTTTCCTAGTCATTGATTTAGTTATAATTGAATATTTATTCTAACTATAAGAATGATATGTTGAACTATCCAAATTGATGATTTATGTCTATATTAACCAAAAAGAACTCCGCCTGTAGCCCCTCTGAAGCTAATGCCGGTCCCAAGCCCGGATAAAGAAGGAGGGTTGAGCCTAGGGTTAGCGACCCCATCCCGTAGCATACTAACTCGCTAGGAAAACGCTAACTCTAAACGTTGATCAAACAGATAATAAATATTTATTTTTTTTTGGTATTGAACTTAAATATATGCTTGTACGTATCTTTTAAATGTATGTGTTTATTAACATTTAAAAACTTTATGTTCTTCATCCCTTTCCTTTTTGTTTAATGTCAGTTTACATTACCCATTAGAACATTCTAGCTCTAGAATTGATTTCATTTATTTCACGAATAATATACATTTTGATCGAAATTTTTAAGGACCTAATGTGTTAACTTCTTGTTTGAAGGAAATGCAGGGAGATCGTAGATTGCTAACGTCTAACACAAATGATTCTAGTATCAATGTAACTGACAACTCATCTAAATTACTTCCACTTCCAAACGCAGACACACATATTTATGCCGGGACTGAAGATGGTGTTATAGTCTACGTTGACTGGATACCACATAAAGATCAAGACACTGGGAAAATGCAAACACCCAAACCAGAATTTTGTTCTTCACGACATGATGGTCCAATTAGTTACCTTTGTCGTTCACCGTTCGATTCTTCCCTAATCTTGGCTATTGGTGGATGGATATGGACAATGTGGAAGGAAGGAGTTACCAATGGACCGATTATAGAATCTGGTCGTGCAAATAAACCATTAACAGGTTAGTGTATCTAATGTTTAACTAAGGTTATCATTACAACATCATTTTGTTCGTTGATATGTAGAGGAAATCGCCTCTTCTTTTACAGTTACTGTAACCAATAGCAACCACAAGCATCACCGAGTTTCGTCCTGTGTTACTAAGATCCTGTGTTACACAATCTCTTAAATACAATTCTATAATATCAAATGTAATCACTGTAATTCTTTTTTCTCAGGGTCTAGAGCAGTAGAGCCTGTACAAAGTAGATGATAAAATAAACTATTTTCAGTGATAAAGATATTCAACTTACAAGAGATTTCTTTGCTGAATATCAAGATTTTTCGTTTAAGATTATTATCATCTTCAGAGAGTGATTCATAAAACATGCACAAAATCATTGATTCTATATTGCCAAAATTTAGTGTTGATTAACAATAAAAGTCTGGACATAATTATCAGTCTAAACTATTTGTGATAAATATTATTTTCTTCGTCCTGTAGATAATCGAGATAAAAATTATGGATGAAGTTCGATCTGTTTATACTGGTGATAATCTAGTTTAGCAGAATTCATCACAATAATAACATTTTAAATGTCATTCCAAAATGAACTAACCTAACAGTTCAAAGTAAGAATTTTGTCGCCTCGTCAAAATAATTTAAGACGTGATAGAATTTAAAGTAAACAATTATGAAAATTCCAAATACTTGGAGGAAATAGATGAAAAATTAATTAATTTAATTAGATGGTGGTTGGAGGTAGTCAACAGGAAACCCTGGACCCGGGTTGGTCACGGGATCGAATCCGTCAAGGAGCACAAGTTCCCTCAAGATTACAGGCACACCTTGCTGACGAGTGCCAAGTAGCACGAAACCCGGATCCAGTGTTTCCTGTCGACTACATCCAACCACCATCTAATCTCAACATAGTGCACGCAGTGTCGAGTCACCTAGACTGGTGGCCACATTGCAACTTGGTAGATAGCATTCGATCTGCACTAAGAAGGACTTGACACACATGACATGGATTACCACCCAGTGATCAATCAATTGTGATTAATTAATTTAATATTCCCAGTTGACATGTCTGGTTTATGGAATATTCAGTGGATAGATCAGTTTGTTTTCTATCTGAATAATTGTATCAACTATTGTGAAGCGTTTTTGATGGTGTTTTGTTCTCTGAGCTGAATCGTTTGGTCATGCAGCTTTCATCATTCTTCTGAACGATATCATTAGCACAAACTTCAGGTAGACGTTTGTGCTGATGATATCGTTCAGAAGAATGATGATAGCTGCATGACCAAACCATCCATCTCAGAGAGCAAAACTCTATCGAAATCACCCACCTGAGCTACAAATCTTCTCCATCTCAAAATATTGTAAAGCGTGTAGTTGTAATTCAATGAATGTGCTTTGACAGAGAGCGTTTAACAAATAGAATTCCTCACGGCTTAAAACCTAATAAGTCAATGTTGGTACAGTTGTAAAGTTATCCAGGTAGTATTTACAAACCATTATTTTGTCATCGTATATGCTATTCATTGATAGTGAACCAAAATTATACGTCAATAAGATGACATCAACAAGGCATCCATTCAACGTTATGTTGAAAGTTGAGCGCAATGTTCAGAGATCATTTATAAATCAATGTAACATCGTATCATTTTTCTAGCAACAACAATGCTACCGCTTGGTACGTAAACAATTTCGTGTAAAATAACTCAATGACTGCTGAGTTAGTAAATATATATATTTTAACATTAAGCAGTAACCTGAATGCTGAAGAACTAACTGGGATCTAAAGGAATGTAAGCGTTTCCCCAAATATTATTTTTTCCAGTTAGGAATAATAAGTGATGTAATAAATGCGAGTGAATGACAGCTGTTAATGAGTAGAACTAGTGCCCCATTTTGCTTTTCAGCTAATCATTTCTATTTAGCCGGAGACGATCAGAAAGGTATAAATTTTAGATATCTTATTGTTTATTACTATTTATTTGCTGACTAACTGTATTAAGCAGTCTAATTCAGTATGCTTATACTATCCACAATTACAATCTTAACCATTGCGCACGAAAATATTATGTTCAGTCCCATATTCTTTACATTGCCTTCATTCTTCTTCAATAACACAATGCACCACTTTCGTCATTACAATTCCTTGATTTTAATAACAACTGGACATAGAATAATTTTATATATGTCAAATCATCTTCTCAAGTACTGAAACACATTACGTCACACATTTATAAACTGTTGAAAATATAAACCCTTTAGTACCTTTTATCATTACTAGACGCATCATTAAATGGGCTCATTAAATCACTTACAGCTTAATTTTTTTTCAATTAACGCTAACTATTTGCCATCCTTGCTCTGTTTACAGATAGAACTCAGTGAATCGAATAAGAGCGATGAATAATATATTTTTGCAATTAAAGATGTCACAATAGAGAACATTTATTCCGATGTGACTAAAAGCCTAAATATATGGTTTTGAATAACCCGCATGCGTCTCTGGGACATATTCGATGTACTGACTTCACAAAAACTATTGGTTAGCACTGATATAAAAGTTTATCATTTTAGGTGGATGGCATTTTCCTTTACTGGTCTGTTGACACACGTTGCATAGTCTCTATACTTGTGCATCTTCGTCTAAGTTGTTGTCCATGTCATTTAGTTATTCTAAATTTATTGAAATAATATCCTCTTGCCACAACTCCTGCAAGACTCTTGTTACCTATTGGTCATTTGAAGAAGTCCAGGAACTTATCAATCATTGCGGGAGTTTCTTGACTGGGGAAGAGAAACCAAATTTGTATTGCCATGCAATTCATGTCAGTTTATTATTATGACCTTAATGTTTGTCGTTTTCTTTTCATATATGTCAATTGGATTATTATCTGACCCATAAATTATGTTCTTCCTCACCCCTTGATTAGTAAGTTACCTCATTTGGTATTTCTTCTCGAGTCAATTTATGATGCAATCTTTTCTATCCTCCTATAGACATATATTTTCCATATAACTATACATACGAATGTACAGCTTAAGTAAAAGATTTCGTCGGAAAGAAAACTTTATTCTCTGAATTCTCACTTTTTATTATTCATTGACACTGTGGGTTATTTTTATTATCTCAAATGCAACAATTTGATGAAGAAACATCAGGATGACGATTTATGAAGTCCCTTGGATCCGTCGTTGTTAATAAATAATGCTGCAGCCCATTACCTTTATCTCATCTATATTTACGGCATCCTCTGAGGGAAATTATATGACCTTCGGACTTTTCATGATTCCCTTCACTTTATTTACATAAAGATATGATTTATCCTGGAGATTTGCCTGAAAGGGTTTTAGGCCTCAAATTGAATACATCCTGTCGATACAGATGTTTCCAAAATGAGGAGTATACATAATGCACCATGTTAATTGCAGCAATGCCTGAAATCAGTAGAGACCTGAAGAATCCGAACTCTGATCCCGTTGGTTTCGCACTATGAACTATTGTGATACGTCAGTGCATTGGATTCATGGTTGTAGCGCACATCTCTAGAAATTAGGGTCCAATATCCTGCTGTGTTTTTGTAAAATATAAATGCTGGATAGGTGCATTACAATGAAACATTAGGTGAAATAGCCTTATACAATTACTACACTTACATCCTTCTTTGGGAACGATTCCGATTTCTTCTGGGAGTTTTACGAGCAATTCTTCAACATACAAGCTTAAAGTATGGTTTCCGACTCCAATGGAACTGGAAACCATAAGCGGGAAAATATCGCCCACTCTAATTTTCTTACTGTACTATTGAGCTTTTCCAGAGACGAGAACGTCATTGGAAACAGCATGAATCTGAATTAGTAGTGGCGTGATTACTCGAGCTCATTGTTATCAAAATGTCCATCATCACATAAATCATTGATTTTAATATCAATATTAAAATAGAATAAAAAAATCCAAAATATACTCTGTTTAATATTATTCGATCAGTTTTAAGCTTTATGATAGTCTTTTAATTAAGAGATCATTGTGATTCAATACATTTTTTGAGTTAATCCAAATGAAATATAAAACTAAGGAAATATTTAATTGTAAAACAACTGAGAATTAGTGACTATGACAACTTTCCCATTAAGATATAATGTTTCATAGAATTCATAGTTGAAATAATTATTGTAGGGTAGTGTTTTAGGATAGTGGCTAGTAGTGGAATTTTAAAAAAATGAATTATCTCCTACTTGGGTTATACAAACTAAACTGGTAGATTTATATTCAAAGTAATATTCACTTAAGAAATTCTTGATTATTACAAGAGAAATAATTAGTAAAACATATCAACCCTTTGTTACGTAATAGTTGCACTGATAAACTCTCAAAGCAATTAAAATAATCCATAATGTCATTGAATATGAAAAAGAGAATTCAGAAAACAAAATTTTCTTTTCGGCGGAATCATTTTTTTCTTATCCCTTGATTAGTGAGTAACCTCATTTGATTTTTAGTCTTGATTAATCAATTTATAATACAATCTTTTCTATACTCCCATAAATATATATTTTCCATATAACTATATATACGAATGTACAACTGAAATAAACTCTCAAGGTTTTAAAACTATTTACACTAAGTTTGAGTCTGGATGGAAATACTAAAACAGGTATACAAGTACAACTAGAAAGTCTTAAATAGGATGATACAAGTTGGTTAGTTTACACCACTAGTCAACATTCAAATGCTTAGTAAACTTCAGATCCAACTAATCATTTGTTCATTAGGTAGATTTATCAAAAGTGACTTATGGATTCATTTCGAAATATCAATAATCAAAGTATATAAACTAATTAAATAATGGTATGATTTTAGATGTATGAAACAATTTAATAATCAGATAGTTAGGTATTGGTTGGTAAATTCATCTTTATGCTAACTAATAGTATTTAAGATACTATCTCATAACACTATAATCATAAATATTTACTTAGGTTCACTGTTGCCATCTTGATAAATCAATGAGATTTTATGAAATCAATGATGTTTGTAAGTAATATATTTTCGAATTTGCAAATGATTGGATCGAATTAATAAGTACATCAAACTCACAGAAATAATTTGATTGAGTTGAATAAAGATTCAGTGGTTCATACTTCTATCTCTTGTTAATGGAACTGGATGATATGCAATCTATCTATATCTTTTCTTCATTTCAGCTAAACATGTAAAAAGTGTTTACTTTTATTGCACTAATTTATCAATATCATTAAAATGATACTCTGTGTTATTTATAAATACTTCTTATTCAAGGTGGCAGTTGGTCTCCTACACGTCCATCAGTATTTTATACATGTCGTGTTGATGGTAGTATAGAAGTTTGGGATTTACTTGATAAAACTTATGAACCAACGATGATCCAGTCAATATCTGCTAATTCACTAACTGCTTTGTCTATATGGGATTCACCTAAACGTCAGTTTATAGCTACTGGTGATATTCAAGGTGTACTACAATTATTTATTGTGAGTTTATTTTGATTAGTAATATATGTTTTTTTCTAACTTTATTGAAATGTAGAATACATAATAAAATCTTGATGATTTGAAACTCTATTCTTTTCAACAACAAAAAATCCCCAATTAAGTTGAAGTCATTAAAGGTGATATTAAAATATAATTTTAAATCTTTTATTAAGATTTAGTCGTCAGTCAGTCAGCTATAACGTCGGAAGAGTGTATACACATACGCCATTGTGATCGATTCTGAGCCATGTCATCCAGAGTCTCTAACCATTGGTTACGATAGTCACGCGGACCCCAACCAAGTAGTCTGCATCTACCAACATGACTGTATTTTATCAGCATCTTCACTAAACAGAACTATATCATCAAAATAAATAGTGAAAAAATTATAAATTTATAGATCACTTTTTATTACTACTAACAAACTGTTTCAGTAGTAACACTACTAAGCAATTTGATAGTTAACTATGTGGTCAAAACATTTTAGAAAATGACATGGAGTTAATAAATTATTAAGTTGTATCAACAAAAAATAATTAATTGAACTGAAGTGTAAACATGATATTGTTAGAGAATAGATAATATTTAAAAACAGTTAAATTTTTAGGGATTAAAAAAATATCTAAATGAGTACACTATATTTTAAACTTTATTGTCTAACAGTCGTTCAAACACTGAAATATATTGACTAAAATACAAATTATAAAGTTTCCACTTATCTATATGACTTGAAATGATAGTCAAGTTCTTTATAGGTCGTTATTATATTTTCATTCTGTGTTTTTATGTTATTATTAAAATGCCTTGTGAGGTATGTCATAAAATTTACAGTGTCTAAATTTTTTTCCATTTTCAATAAATTTGTGAATGTCATCTTGTGTTAGACGTTATTAAAGAGTATACAAATTCTATGCCAGATATCTGAGGACAAGTTTAAAATAAGTTTAATACGGAAGAATGTGTCCAGTGATAGTAATATTAAACATAAACATAATAATAAAATCTTTTACTATAAGGATAGATTCATTAAATTTACATAGAGGTTAGCATTCAGTAATAGATCACAGAGATTTATTTCAATTTACGTATAAACACCTCAATAGTATTTTGGATGTTACACTGGTTTTGGATCACAGCAAAGTGTTTGATTTTGAAAATCTTAATTATACGCTATGAACTTTTCTAAATTATACTTTCGCTTTTACTTCACTCCATACTTGAAAGGCGAAATACAAAACTCTACAATATGCTATTTAATAAACATATAATGTGACAAAATTTTATAGGAGAGATGCTAACTTAAAACTTTAGCTACTATTATTACTATTATCATTATTATTATTAGTGGCTTTATTCAATATAATATTTTTGGTACAATATAGAATTCTCAGCAAAAAGTATTTCAACAAGTTTCCTTTTCTCATTTCTTGATCGATACTTGAGATAAATATTGAGTAGTCGCCAGTTATATGTTGGCAGTTAGGCAATAATAATGTACATTGTTTTCGATGCATATTGCCAGCAACCACGATGTCTCTTATCGGCCTCTTTTGTAACTTGTACTGCGAAATGTCGTAAACCTTACACAAACGCTTCTGAATAGGTTATGCAACCAATAGGCATAATGATGTGTTAAAACAAACAAGAAAACAAATAAATTATTGAAATGCCCTGATGGTAGGAACAGGTAACCCAGATATTCAAACAGGCCGCGTGTAGTGTTTTACATAATAATAAATTCTTCGTACATAAATACGCTCTTGATTCATATATTTCGACACATTACATTCATGTGTTCACGGCTTTTTCTAGTCTTCAAGCTCTGGTACATACATAGCTACTAGGGTGCGATTGCATAAAGGTGGAAGTTTTGTTGCATTAAATTGACACAATATTGTTACTTCTTCCAGATATATAACTACTACTCATATATATTCTGAAGTGTAAATAAAGAATAGGAAAAAACTTACTAAAACACTACGCTGAGAATTTCCTGCTGTACTAAACATGAATTGTTGAATAAAGTGATTACTATTATCGTTAAACATGTTTATTGATATATACATTATACTGACTATAGGTACCTAGACGTTTACAAACTCCTTTACCATCAGAATTAAAAAAATTCAGTGAATACATTGAACGTGAGGTGAAAAGAAAAGAATTTGTCTCGATGCGTTGGAATTTAAGAGAGCAAGAGAAAATTGAACAAGAAGCGGAAAACAAAAGAAAAGCTGGTTTAGCACCAGCTGTTATGCTGAGCGACGAAGAAATTATTCAGAAAGAAAAAGCAAGTTAAAGGCATAACTACTGTGTAGTAATTGCGTTTAATTCTAATTAAAATAATTTATTAATTAAGACAAATATTGAGGGCATTTTGAGTTATAATACTCTTATCAATGCAAAAATTTTTTTTCGAAAATATGATGCCTTATTTAAATATAAGAAGTCCATTAATGAAGTGTCTAGACCACTTTGCTTATCCTGAAGGGTTCGCGGCGAGACTATAATTTATGGACGAACCAATCAGATTCAGGATAACAAGTCTAGAATTTTAACGCTATATTCATTCACCTATTTGTCTATATAGCGTTTCGGCATTTTAGCTGCTGTCAGTTCGCGATGAAAACCACAATTGTAATTCCTAACCCTAACCATCAATTGTAAACCATAATCCTTATTCTTCAAACTGTTTTATAACCCTTATCTAGCTCTAGTAAGTAGGTGGACATTTTCAAGGTCACTTTAGCGTCGCTCAAATGTCGTTTATAAATTATAGTCTCACCGAGTTAAACATTTACTTATCTATCTAAAATTTCTATCTGATAGCTCACTCCATATTTGTCTAAGGCTATGAAACAGCCTATGGAAGCCAAAAATATTGGGAGGTCGTAAGTATTTGACCAAGGACGTCTTCAGAACATTGATCGGTTATGATGAAATTACGGACTGGTTAGTACTGTAATTGTGCAGAGAAGTTTAGACAGAAATACGAGGCCATTCAACATAGCTTTATAGAAACAAAGACTATGAAATGAATCATAAGACAAGTTTGAAACAGTTTTAACAACAAATTCGCTATTTAGCGGCGAAGAAAACCAGAAATGAAATTCACATCAAACCTTATAAAATAGAGTTTCGCTGATGCGAAAGGCTTTGACCAAGTACACAGAACACACGGATTGCTCAAAAACAATACTTCAAAAATCACCTCATCGAATCTCAAAATGTCATTAGACGTACTCATAGTTGTGGAGCCTGATAAAATAAGGTAAAGTTTCTTAATTAAAGGAAAACTATGGTAACACAATAGAACTTATCTCAAGAAAATATAAGAAAATCATGGTGATTTTGATGTTTACTATGTATTAAGTTAATCTGGATTTTAGTTCAGCTAGACGACCAAAATGAAAAGGGAAAAGTCTTACGTTTTTTATGTCATTCAAGACAAGATCGAAAGCTAAAACGTTTAAAAAGAGAATGAAGAATATTGTTACAGATGTTTATTCTAAAGAGTTGTCATCATCTACATAACTCTTGAAAACTGGGCAGTATCGGACGTCTATTCTTCAGAAGTGCTCATGCACGACCTCACAGAAGATCGAAATCAAGACCTTCTGGTGTATCAAGAAGCAGAAAACTTAAGCATTGTCATTTGAATGTCGCGTTATCATCGGAAGTTTTGAAGGTCTTGAGTCCAATCTGTATTAGGGTCATGAGCTCTTAATGCTTGAGAGTCTCATACTGAAAAGAAGCCACTGTTTAACACTTACTTTGTCAACTGCTTCACAAATCAATCCATTAGGAAAATGATCTTTAATACAATATATAAAAACTTCTCAATTAAACTTATTATTTGTCTAATTACCAGGTAATATATTCATTACAGTTAAAACGTATCAGAACTTCATTTTCCTTTGATCCTATAAAATTGTTTGGAATCTAATTTCTCCGATTCATAGTAATGTATAAACCAAACAGTCAATATTATGTTATGTCAGTGACGACAATAGAATAACCAAGTTTCAGATATAATCATACATGATTTTTAAATGTTTTATATATGATTAGTTTATTGTACATATATTTATAACTTATTCTTTTTCACGAATATTTTAGTTGGAATATGAAAAGTACTTATCAGAAGAACATACTTTCTTAAGATCATTAGGACTAGTTGAAGAGGATGATTAGGAAGAATAAAAATGTAAAGGAAGAACATTTGTTTGTCTTTTAAAAATATAGAATCTTTCGAAACGACTTCTTTCACATGAATATTATTCAATATATCGATTTAAATTAATTGTACTCTTTTTAAGCAGTTGTTTTTTTTTCAGGATCCATTGCAGGTTAGTGAGGTTATCTTTTGCATGTAGGGCAATTCTAGCTGTATATTAAGCCTATCGTTTTAACTCTTACGAAATCGATATATTACCGAAATTGAATAATAAAAACTCTTACTTTGTACAGTTTTATCTAGATGATAAGCAAAGAGACAAGTAAATTTTTCTAACAGCATTCAGAATTAGTAGTGGAAACATGAACTAACGTATCAACTAAAGGTTTATATTGGCTTTATGACTACTTTTTGGAAAAAGACATGGGAAATTTATAAACTCCACTATTCTTCCATGAGTTATTGTATGAATGACTACACATTATTATCTACTACTACGGAAGTCTTTTCAGCTTCCGGTGTTATCTCAGTGACAGAAAAGCTATGAAGTTGTTCATACTGCTTAACTAACCAACCAACTGTAACCTATTGCGGAAATCTGACAATCCTCTCGAGTAATAAGAACTACTTTCTTGCTCATACTAGAGTACATTTAATTTTTTTGGTACTTGAATTTATATTCGGTCTCTCGAGTTGTGATGATGCTGGTGGCAGCCGTGTTACATTCTCTACTGAATTGAATTTAATCGTAGATCGAAAGGCGGGTTGATTATTTTTCATTTCTAATATAAATGTACTGTAAGATCCATTTTGAATGTTTTGTGTGTGAAAATCCCTCCATGTATACACATGCAGTTTGTTCCTATTGATTCCTTTAGTTGTACACTGTTGGTCTATTTGATTCTATTTGGTTGTTAATATTTGTATTTTATTACAGTTTTTATTTTTCTTATGCCTTCACTAAGTCTCCATGTTTCTTCCTGAACTGCATTTATGTTGTTTTACAAGATACTTAGTCCTGGAGGCAGCCATATTGGTTTGTTCCTTCTTTTGATTATGCTGCTTGTATTGAAAACACTGTGTGTTATAAAGCAGCCAAATATTATCTTTTGAACGAATCTGTGCGTGGTCTATCCAGACAGGATAGAATAGCATTTGTTTGTTGCGATTAGTAATTTTCTCGCATCCTTTATCAACTTCCTCATTTATTGTAATTTAGATTTGATTTATTGAACACTTATTGGTTGGATAGCTGGGTGGTCATATCTTTTTAGGTAACAATGTACATTTAAATTTATGTTGAATATTAGAACAGTCATTTTACCCAATCACTTTGTTTTGGTTTCAACCGGGCAAGGGCGCGTATCTAACCCGCCTAGACAGCTATTCTTCAGTCCAAACCTTAGTTTGGATTTTGTACGTACTTCTTTGCATAAATCAAAGTTTCATAATATCGTTCCACACACGAAGGTTAGAGATAACTAAAAAGTCAGAAGCCATACTGTCTACGTACTGTAAATAATCTGTCAATTAATAATCGCCGTAGTACAATCGGGGGTATATCTTTTATTAAGGTGTTATAAACTGTGGTGAGTGTGTGGTGTTTGAATGAACTAACGATTCCTTTGTACTTATTGAATGCTTTATTTCGAATTCCAAATACAATACATTCATTCGTGCTTATCCAGTACTTCTTGATCCAATTGCGTTGTTTCTCAGATACCTAGTTTATGCTATAATTCAAATGTAATAGCTTAGGTCGATTAGTTAACAGTTAATCTCAAGTAACAGCATAGTTCAGATATTCATTCACTTCTTTATCTTGTATAGGCGTTATATTTCTAATTATCTTATATTTTTTATGTTGAGAGGTTTTGTTTGTCTGAGTAAGGAATCCCACGCTGCACAGTGACTGAGCTAAGATCAAAATAAAGACCTATTTCCTACTAGTCTGGTTTCTTCTACTAATAACACGAGGGCTACCAATAGGCACGAAACTGGTGAGCCCGACGTGATTAATAGAAGAAACCAGACTAGTAGGAAATAGATGTCCATGGATTTCTCTTCATTTGCCGGCTTGTCATCTTCTTTTGTAGCATGCAATTTCTACTACAACTATCGCTGACGGTTTGCTACGTGCTCACAAGAGAATGAGTGTAAGAAAATGGAACAAGAATGTCTGAGGAAGTGCCGCGAGAGGGCTACCCAACACCATATTGGTGAGGTACGATTTTTCCATGCTCCGTCCAGCTATCAGGTGTTTACTCACCTGCCTCTTGAGTCGCCCTCAAGTAAAAAGTAAAAAGAGTCTACTTCAAAGGTAGTGATGAAAATTAATAAAACCTGAAGAACTGATCCACTACCTGCATAAAATAATAAGGTACAAAATGGAAATACGTAAATATAATTGATAATTGTTCAGTTACATGTAAGTGTTTTACCTCCAGAAACGATTGGTCGTCTGGAAGGTCGCCAGTTAAAACACGACTTGTACAATTTAGTTTGGTATTATTCATTTGTATCACATCTCCATCCTTCTTGACTAATAAGAACACATGTTTAGCTAGAATCTCTTTAAACCTCGATGAAATTTTACCGAACTCTTATTTTTGGACATCATAAAATGCGCCTCCGTAGACCATATATGGAGATCAACACTCATGGGGGGTTGGTGTAAGGGTCTCTCAAACTGCTAACCTGTCAGTCTTCTTTCAATAACCTTCAAAGTTAAGGAATCTCTTGTCCATAATCGTTCATGTCATTATCGATTCGAAACACATAAGCACATCTGGGAGAGGGCCACTCCAGAATAATGAATATTTCGATCAGGCTGACGACTAGACGAATCCCTTAGAGCATCTAATGATTTCATATTCATCAGTTTCTGGAAATATGAACTTGTTAGTCATGCTTGCCTTATCCAACTTTAAAGCGGATAGGTATCCACTCATCGTCGACTGATTGACTTGCTTTTCTTAAAATGGATGGTTCATTATTAGGACTTTTGCTTCACTCAATGTATAAATATAACCTTTCATAACAAGTATTTTCCGAGATATCGCTTTTCCAATGATGTAGGGCGTTATACAAAGTTTGGTAATACAGTAAATGACTAATATATCTGGAGGACATCGTTCGACTTCAAACGTGGGTGGACAATAACGGACTGGATTTTAACTACAAATAGTGTGAAATAGTCATTATCCAGGATGTGCAACATAAACGAACCTCTGTTACAAACATCGTTGACTGATATGTGGTATGTGGATGAAACCATAGTTATATGCGTCATAGGTGAAGATATCAACTTTCTGTTTTAAAAACTGAATATACTTATGAAGCACACTAATATTTTACATGAAAAAAAAAAACAAATAATGTGCTCTACCTAGGTATTATAGTTAGTAGACTAAATGTTAATTCTCTTCATGTGTTCTGTTTATAGGATATCTATATAGTCAGGGAAGTCCCAGTCCTTATAGTTTCAGTCAGCTTCAATGAAAATGTTGTCTGATAGGAATGCTATTCGTAGCATAAGAGATAATATTGTAGAAGTGATGCATATACTCGAACTATTAAATAATATCCACGTTTCTCAAAAGTTTATAAACCGATAGAAGGACTATGATATGTCGATATTAATCTTCCTCTCAGAACCTGTGATCCTGCCAAAATCTCCACAATCTCGAAAGATGGTTGAAATATGCTCGTGTGATAACAAGAGTTTAAACTAGCGATTAGCTGAACTTTTAAACACCTGAAAACATCATTAATGAATGTTTAAGATCAATGTTCCACCAAAAATACAAGCAGAACATAGAAGTTTAGGCCTATGTGATTACATTTATCACTTTACATGAATGTATAAACACACATTCATTTGTAAGGGGGATCTTAGTCAAATTAACTGTGTTGTATAAAAGTGCACGGCGATGAACACTAAAGTTCATTTAAGTTATAACCGTACGAATGTTTAAACTATCTTCGTGTGTGATAGATAAATTTCTGTCACCTTGAAACGGTCTGAACAATCTTCCTTTTAATCTAGATAGGTATGATTCGCAGGGTTAAATATTATTTTCGTATTTTCTTATGTTTCAGTTTATTTGATCTTTTACTCTTCGTATGACTGACTTTACACAAAAGTGTAGTGACCTACTTTTGTCAACAGAACGCGATTGGTTCGATGAAAACAATTATTATTATAACCAATTGTACCAGTGACTGTTTTACTGTGCTCGTTTGTTTAACTGTGCTAATGACAGCCATTATACTTACTCTCCCGTTGACTTCGAACTTGTACGAATCCGGTTACGCTCAGTAACCACACTTGTACTCCTTTGGCACGATCTCGGTATTCTTTCGATACCACGAGATCGCCAACAAATATATACGACTACTACAATCATCTGCCTTCTGAAATTTTGGCCTATCGGAATTTTATTGGTCTATTGGCAAGTAGTCTGGTAGCGGTGTTCTTAGTCAAGCTCAACTCGACACCACGCTACAAAAGTGTAGGACCAGATTAGCCGAAATGTGGTACGTTATTATATTAAATGAGTCTGAAAAGCCCTCGTGATAAATAAATCCCCAAAATAAACAGTGTCGTTAAGATTGATACTGACGTTAACAGTTTCGCATGACAATCCCAGCTTAGGGCACTTGACCAATCATCTATACCAAATCACACTTGAGTATGCCGTGCAGCACACCTTTCATAACGACTAGCCAGTCTAATTTATTTACTTCTAATGTTATGTTCGTTTTCTCAAAGTACCTTCACATCACTTAAATCCTGAATTTTGGCTTGTCTAGCTTTCGAATTATCGGATAAAAAGGCGTTATGCATAGAAGCATCGTCGAACATTAAATATTCGTAAAATACCTTTGTGGTCTTGCGTTCTGTGACTTTTGCTTTATTTTTTCTTGTTCCACATACCTCGGTAAAATTGAAGCCACTGATGCTCTTGTAGTGACCTACTTTTGTCAACAGAACGCGATCGGTTCAAAGAAAACAATTATTATTATAACCAATTGTACCAGTGACTGTTTTACTGCGCTCGTTTGTCTAGCTATGCTAATGACAGCCATTACATTCACTCTCCCGTTGACTTTGAACTTGTACGAATCCGGTTACGCTCAGTAACCACGCTTGTACTCCTTTGGCACGATCTCGGTATTCTTTCGATACCACGAGATTGCCAACAAATACATATCGACTACAGCCATCATCTGTCTTCTGATATTGGCCTACGGGGATCTTATTGGTTAATTGGCATGTAGTCTTGTAGCGGTGTTCATAATCAAGCGCGATTCGACACCACGCTACACTCTCTTGCTACCATATACAGAGGCTAGATAATAGTGATATTCATGCAATTCATCCAAAATTATTTGACTTGCACGAATATCACGAAGCAATCTGAGTTGAACCTAAAACGTAAAAAGCTGATTATTTGTCTTATATTAGTATACGACTCCTCTGTGCCTATATACGACCATGGGACTGGACTCAAAACCAACAACTTCGGTCAGACGCTAACCTCTGAACCGTTAAGTAGATATTCGAAGTTGTCATTGTGTTACCTAATTTTATAATGTTCTAACTTCTGTAGGCATATGGTTTTTATGGAATTGAACAATCTCCACAACCTCATAACGAAACCCGTTGATTATTGTGTATTGAAAGTATTAGCGCCTGAACATCCTGGCAACACTGCTTAGCGTGATGTTCTCATATCACACAGATTTTCAAAGGAGGTCGACGCAACGAACCTTCAATTCACCGACCGGTGACTCCTCTCTCTATACATTCAAAGATCATGGAGTCCCTGGTATACGATGGTATCCACGACTATCTGCTGTCCTTAAATTTCTTCTCACCCCAACAGCATGATTTCAGGAAGGGTTACTCCTGTATGACGAACCTGCTGACTGCGGTGGACAGATGGACAAGCATCGTTGATCGTAAGGGAAGGTAGACATCATTTACCTTGATTTCTCTAAAGCTTTTGATAGGGTTAATCACATATGTCTTATTAACAAGCTCAAACAATTGGGTATCAAACATCCTTTAATTGATTGGCTCAGTTCATATCTGACAAATCGACATTTTAAGGTCAGGGTAAAGTTCAACTTCTCACACGCTATGGAATGTCCTAGTGGGGTCCCCCAGGGCTCAGTACTAGAACCTCTCCTCTTCCTGATTTATATAAATGATCTTCCTCAACAGGTAACGTCAGACATATTGCTCTTTGCCGATGACGTGAAACTTTGGAGAGAGATACGCAACCAAGAGGATATACAGGCACTTCAGGAGGATCTGA